TGGTAACCTTCTCTCTACAGAGCGTTTGAAAGAACAGCGATACCTATTGGTCATGGAGACTCTTTAATTCGAACTGGTAACCTCCACTCTACAGAGCGTTTGAAAGAACAGCGATACCTATTGGTCAGGGAGGCTCTTTAATTCGAACTGGTAACCTCCACTCTACAGAGCGTTTGAAAGAACAGCGATACCTATCGGTCACGGAGGCTCCTTAATTCGAACTGGTAACCTCCACTCTATAGAGCGTTTGAAAGAACAGCGATACCTATTGGTCAGGGAGGCTCTTTAATTTTTCGATACTGGTAATGAATCTAACGATACATCAACCGTTAATTTGTTTCTGCTTGATGATTTATTTTATTTCCGCGTTTGTCTGCTATTCGCTAGCAAGTGCACAAATACTCCAGTAATTTTGAGGAGCGAGTTTATAACCTTCTAACTCGTGACCTTGTTTTCCTGGTACCTAAAGCCTATCACATACCTGAAAGTAGCCAACTTTTAGTTTTTATTCCATAAGTTAGCGCTTGTATGTTAACGCCAGAACAGATTCTCAACTGTCAGGCCATTCTAGCTGCACTTTTTAAACTCGAATCACCTCCAGGGGACTTCCTATACAGTCTTTAGGTTCCAGAACTTGCAAAACTCGTCCTCAACACTTTGAAAATGGTATAGAACTGATATAGTTGTTGGTTTACGTCTCACTAGAGCTGCGCAATATGCTACTGGCGACTTTCTGGGAAACATCCTTGAAGATGATCCGAGGACATCTCATCACAATTTTGATCCTCTGCAGAGGAAATGGCTCTCCTGCTTCAGTAGCCCAACGAACTACACGTGAAGTCGAGCAATCTATGGTAGAGCACTGAAATAGACTAGACAACAACAACAGCGCTGACGCTCACTTGTAAGTTGATGTTTTAGTTATCTTGGTGCTCGAACTGACAACCATTTTATTTGAAGCTCTACTTAATGATCTTTTAACAAACCCCAACCTGTCACTGTCTACCTGAAAGTTTATATGCTATGCATACTAACAATATCTTGTCAACAACATGCATAGAAAGGGTAAACTTTTAGATGTATATTTATAAAACTAAAACAACGTTTAAAAGAACACAAATAATAACGCATTGAAAGACATACGACCGTTTTGGTGATATAATGACTCACGTTCTGTGTTCTTAAAATAATAATCTTTAACACTCTGTCTCGCTTAATACTGAGCATACGGAAGATATAATCCATAATCACATAACAATTCTCGAGAAGATCCCTACTTTCCTTTTAACTGAAAACTATCGATGTCAAGCTTAGTTTTCCAACAAATTTTTCTTTTTAACAAACAGAAAATGAATCTCGCAATCTAATTCGGGTATTCGTAATTTTATTGTTTTCCTCATCATCTTGTCCCGCTGTTGTTGTTGTAGTTCATTTACGTCGCACTAGAGCTGCACAATGGGCTATTGGCAACTGTCTGGGAAACATCCCTGAAGATGATTCGAAGACATGCCATCACAATTTTGATCCTCTGCAGAGGGGATGGTATCCCCGCTTCGGTAGCCCGACTACCTGCACGCGAAGTCGAGCACTTTACAGTAGAACAGTTTAACGAGGACCAATACCGCATACCCACGGTCCCTAAGCAGACTAAACCAAGTGGTCACCCACTCGCACACTGACTGTGGTTAGTAATTGGGTGGGTGACCTCTTTGATCAGACTGCGTTGGGACCGACAGTGTGCGGTATCGGTCCTCGTTAAACTGTTCTACCGCAAAGTGCTTGACTTCGCGTGCTAGTCGTCGGGTTACCAAAGTTGGCTTCATGGTTCGAATTTTTTTTTTATTATTTAGTTAATTATGATTTCCTTTCATAACCGTCGTTGAACAGCTGACCCAATCTTACGTTTATGGCTACCAATGTTCACCTCCGTAGCCTTGTAGTTTTGAACACAAATCAAAAGACAAGGAAACTCCTGGATCAAGTATTGGGCGAAGTATTACGCTTATGATGGAATCAACCTGCATTTGCTTTACATAGAGAGGGAAACCACGAAAACACCTCATGGTTAGCTTAACGGCAAGGAGACTCAAACACACTATCCATTTACTATTGAGGATATTTTACGTCAGCATTGTGGTCGGTGCGAGTCGGGTGCGGAATTCGTATTGACCAGTCATCACTGCGATTCGAGCCCGAGCCACCTCAGTGGCAGGCGAATGCTTGACCCCCTGAGCCACCACGGGTCTCTTCTTTAACTTTTACATCTTTCATCTTTAACTCATCATTCATCATCTTCTTTTCTAACTTCCACATTTTACAAAATGAATGGTTTTTATCCTTCCTCACATCCGTTTACATTATATATTAACCCTAAAATTTGTGTGATTATCATGTTCGATCTTTTTTTCTATCTTTATTAGTCAATACCTTCACACGTGATAATTATTTGTGATATTTCCTTCTTACATTTACTGAAAAAGTTGTTTCATCATTGTAGATTTATGCAGGAAAATTCATATTTAAATTATGCTTTTTCAGCTAAGGATTTTTTAATGCATAACTAACATAACAAAAAACTGAAATAATGAATATTTTAATTAAATAAATTTTTTGAAATTGGTAAAAAAGAAGAGTCTGATAGGTATGTAGACCTTCTGAAAATTAGAAAAAAATTAAGGTTTGCATGAATTGTAAATTAAACTAACGCAAAACTCAATCTAAAATTGCGGTTGCGAATTTTACGCAAATAACAGTTTGTTTTAAAACGGAAAATTGACATCGCAACAGTGATAAGAAAGAAAAAATCATTAAAGAAATGCGTTTAGTAAACTGTACCTAATAGCAAAAAATTCATTGTTTTAATGAAAATATTACTTCCGCACCCGGCTTGCATCGACCACATTGCTAACGTAAATTATCCATAGTGGTAATGGAATCACAGGTTAGAGTCTTCTTGTCGACAGACTGACCGTTGGAGGTTTTCGTGGTTTTCCTCTCCATGTAACGCAAATGCAGGTTAATTCCATCAAAAACTTTTCCACGAAGGCGAATTTCTACTAATACTTGATTCGGGAGCTCCCTTTTCTTCCGCATTGGGTTCAAAATTACAAGGTTACGAAAGTTGAGCATCGGTAGTTGTAAACTCATAATTGAGTCAGCTGTTCAACTGCGGTTATAAGATAAAAAAAATTAATAAGTGCAGATTATAAAGCAAAATCAAACAATAAAGCATATTGTCTTTGAAAAAACATGCATTTTTGTGGATGGATTTGGATTCTTGACCCTCAAAATATGGGGGTTAGTAGCAATCGGAAAATATGGTCCCAATAGTTTTGACAAGAGAACGGTCGAAAATTTTAGCCCTTCATTTGTTATTTCACGTTCTGCGTTTTTCTTTATCTCAAAGAAGTCATATTTTAAAATTTTGATTTCTTAAAAATCATTCATTATTTCATCATTTAAAATGGCGATTATTATAGTGGTGTAAAAATTTGAATTCTTGTTTAAGTGATATTAACGTGAATTAAAATCTTTATAAATTAAATTTGCCAAAGCCAATTTTAGTGATACTATTTTTACCTTAATTATATAAGTTTTAAAATTAAATTAAAATTTTAAAATTTTTCTAAATTTTTTTTTATTGTTTAAATACATTGTTTATTGTTTTATTGTTAAATGCATTTCATCATTTAAAAGAACAAAGATTATACTAGTGTGAAAATTTGAATTCTTCTTTACGTGATATTGACATGAATTAAAACATTATTTTTATAAATTAAATTCGTTAAAGCCAATTTTAATAAGGCTATTTTTACTTCAAATATACTGATTTTGAAATTAAATGTTTAGATTATCTTTCAGAAATTGTACAGAAATTTGACAAAAAAAAGCTAAACAACAACACCCTGACAGCTCTAAAAGGTTTCACAAAAGGCATTTATTTTCTTTTAGTTCCTGACAATGCCTGGTTCAACAATTTTAATGACTTAAACTTATCAAACTGAACTGTAGTAACTTCATGTTTATTTTAAACGTGCAGACATGAAAAAAGATGAATTCTTTCTTAAGGATTTTATGTAAATTTTCTGAAAAAAAAATTTGAAAAACAACACTGATCGATATGGCTTTCCTATTTCGTATTTAGAAATGTACTTACAGAGTTTTTTCTTTTTTGCCCTAAGACATTCCTTATTTTTAAAAATAATTTTTTTTTTAAAAATCTGAACTCAATTTTAGTAAATTTCTTTTTAATCTTTCAAACTATCAGATTTTTTAATAAAATTTTTCGAACGTTTCTTAGTCATTTTACTCAAATTGTGAAGAAAAAAGTAAAAACTACGTTATAATACTCTTGTTTACACTATACGTTACACACTATGCGTTATAATACTCTACAATACACTATGCGTTATAATACTCTACAATACACTATGCGTTATAATACTCTTGTTTTGAAATTTGTTTAAATTTCTTTTTTTTTTCTAAAAATGTTTTTGAGAGAAAAGCACTCCGAACTCAACTACAATAATTTACTTATTTTTACACGCATGCAGATTTTGAAATGAAAATTTTCAAACGTCTCTCAATTTTGCCCAAAATAGCGATTTTTTTTTTAAAAATCTGAACTCAATTTTAGTAAATTTCTTTTTAATCTTTCAAACCATCAGATGTTTTAATAAAATTTTTCGAACGTTTCTTAGTCATTTTACCCAAATTGTGAAAAAAAAAGTGAAAACTAACACTATACCCTATAATATTCTTGTTTTGAAATTTGTTTAAATTTCTTTTTTGTTCTAAAAATGTTTTTTGAGAGAAAAACACTCCGAACTCAACTACAATAATTTACTTATTTTTACACGCATGTAGATTTTGAAATGAATTTTTTCAAACGTCTCTCAATTTTTCCCAAAATAGCAAAATTAACACCGAACTCTATAACAATTCCACATCATGTTTTGAAATGCATTAACTGTATAAACCAAGGCTACTACCATCTCGTCTTCCAATAGTAGAAGAAATAAAAAAAGCTCTCACATCTTCGCAAACTGACACACTTAATGCTAATGTGACCTCACAAACTTATCACTCCTGTTTCTACTCGCTGCTTTCATTTTCATTGAAGCTAAGCGAAAGTTGTTTATTTTCTATACCGGTATTAAAACTCACTGCTGAACTATGCAACCGGCATTGCTCCTTAGTTACTGAAAGGAGCAATATATGATAAACTCATCTAGATTTTATATTTATAAATATTTTACAAAAAATTTATATAAATAATTTTTATACAAGATGTATACAAGTAGAGAAGAATTGTTATCTAGATTTACTATTGCGGACTATGCCATATTTATACTTATGCTTGGGGTATCAGCTGTGATTGGAATTTACTATGCATGTACCGGTGCAAAGCAAAAAACAACAAAAGATTTTTTCATGGGAGGCCAAAATATGGGAGTTTTTCCAGTCGCTATGTCTATTCTAGCTAGTTTTATGTCAGCAATACCCATGTTAGGCATACCTGCTGAAACTTATCTCACTGGTACACAATTTTGGATGGTAGTTGCAGCTTATTGTTTTATGTTTCCCACAGTAGCTTATGTTTTTATGCCAGTATTTTACGAACTGGGACTTTCAAGCGTTTATGAGGTAAGAGTTTGTAACATTTGTTAAGTTGTATTTGATTAAATATCATGAAGTTTCGATTTGATTTCTTGATTGATTGCAGATAATTAATATTATCTTTGAATCTTGAGAAAAAATTAATTAAAATTTAGATATTCATCATTATAATTTTTTTATCTATAAATAAGAAGTAAACTGTTTTATCTAGATAATTTTCAACTTTTAAAGAAGAAAAGATATTTTATAAATGTGAATTCTTTTAAAAAAAATATATTTTAGTTTTTCCTAAGCCTTTGTCTTCTAATTGGTTTTCAAAAAGTTAAGATTTTAAATCGAAAGGAAATTTTTTTTTATTTATTTTAAAAACGTACAATGTCTTTCCATACCAATTTTTTAAAGATTTTAACCCTTTAACCTCAGTTGGGACACCGGTGCCTCTTTTATTAAACATACTTTTTTCTGACGCTCTTGTTGCAATAAAAATAAATTTTGGTATTTTTAAATTATAAAAAAACAGTAACTATTAGACTAAAAAAATCTGTTAGAATATAGGAATTATATTTGTACTAAAATACAAAATCCAAAAAAGTTAGTTTCAAAAATATGTTTTCATTTATATTCAAATATTGATTACTAATTTATTTTCTAAATTTCAATGATAAATAATTGTTCCTCTTTTATCTAAATAACTGCAAATAAATGTATGTTGAATATGTATTGTTTGGAAGTGAGCCGTACTTGGAAGATAAGTACACCGGTGATTCATTCTGTATTTTATAATATAAATTTTAAAAAATCAAAATATTGTATTTTTTACTTTTTTAACCTAAATTAATACAAAATAATGAAAAAGTTGTAACAATATGTTTAGTAAAAATTCTGCGACAATGGGTCACAATTCAGATTTTCATAAGTCTCCAAACTTATATTTTATTATGAGTTGTATATTACGAGTAATTTTTCTGTTACCATATTTTTTAAACAGTAAATTAATGCTTCATTTTTTAATGTATTTATTAAAAAAATATTAAAATATGCATCATTCTTTAAAAGTCTGAAGCACTGCTAAATAATTGGTGTGCCTTATGTTTATAAAAATAAGAATAAATAAAGTAATCGAAATTTTATTAAAAAAAAGATCCTGCAATTGAAAAATATTTTAGACTGGTTTCTGAAAAAGAAAATTTCAAGAATGTATTTAAATATTCAATTATATATGTGATCAGGATAATTTGTGTATGTAGTTTCGTAGAATCAGCAAATACTTTGGTATATTTTGTTAGTATTTTCTTAAAGTCACTTATTAAAAAAAACTAAATTTAAAACCATTTCATTATATCATTTAATCACAAAAAATTGCTCAATAAATTGAGAAAGAAATTGTCACGGATAAAGCGCTTATGTCCTTATCCAATTGAAAATAAAATTCTAAAAATATTAACAAAAATATTGACTAAATATTACAAATCTAAGATAACTTTATTATTTGCATGTGTTTTTAATTTGTATCTGTCTTTATTATTTTTTTTTCGTATTCAAACAATTCCTTATCTGAAATTTCGCTAAAAAAATATTTAAACTATCATTTGTGTACGGAAAAAAATTACCGGGTTATTTCTTTTTGAACTGATTAGGTTCTAAGCGTTTGGGTAAAAAATCCTCTGTTCACAATATAAATTCTATTTAGTACCAATTAATTCTATCGTCAACATCCATTAAGAATATTTTTGAAAGAAACTAAATGGAATATAGAATTTTTACTGCTACTATGCTTCGCTGCCTCTTTGATTTATGCCAGTTGTGAGTATGGGTTATAACATTTATTTCAGTGGTTTTAACTGTCATAGACAATTATCTTCGCAATGGAAGAAAATCACAAATACGTAAAAATAATTATTTTGTGTTTCTAAATTCTTCTATTTGAACCGCATTAAATTTTAAATATGTAAAGGTAATGTATTTATGATTCAAAGTCTTAAAACTTGACTCAGAGTTTAGATCTTGTAGGTTCACAGGGGCCTAACAAAACCCATCCTATACTGAAAAAAAAAATTCAAATATTCAGCAGAGAGCTCGTTTATTAAACATAATTCGAGATCTACAAATCCCGGTAGTTCCCAATTAGCAAGTCACCTAAAAAATGTAACTTGTACCCAAAAGTTTAGTAAAAGAGAACCAGTTTTCCGTAAAAGCCTGAAAATCTGAATAATTTCTCGAAATTTTTGGCTAAATCCGAGTATACATTACGTAGTGTATTTAGCTACGTTAGTGATGTTTGGATACGAGATAAAGTTTGGAATTATTAGCCGTAGATTTGACTAGACAAATAGATTAGTCTTATTTTTGCTCTTTTAGTGCCACTGCCCGATATACCCTACACTGATGTTTTTTCTTTAAGGTTAAATGCCATTGCCCGGTATACCAATAGTTCGATGAAAAGCGTCAGCGCAGCATTTCGACGTTGGCGAAATCGCGCCAAGTGTGTAAACTTTACTAGGATTTTACGAAAAAAAAATTTTTATTGCACTTTTTTAAAATGCAGCTTTTCTATCAACTTGGATGATCTCATCACTTTTTCTAAAATTCGTGTTTATAAATATTAATTTTAATTTATCACGCTATGATTATTTTTTATAATCGCATTTAAAAATTAAACAATATTCAAATAAAAGTATTTATTTTAATATAATTTTATAAAAATTAATATCTGTTTCGTTACTTCTCATTCCAAACCATTCCTTAACCCCTTCAGTATAATAAGTTGAAAAACAGGGAAACCTTGAAGAAATGGAAATAATGGTATTAGAATTAATGCTTGTTCCTTTACGCATAAAATTAAATTAAGCAAAAGCTTCGTGCTCTATTAAATGACGCGGTCATTATACGGATCATGTAGAAAGACAAAATTAATCAGTTAATTCTGTTTTTTAATTAATGCGCTCACTTACGATGCTTTAAAAAGTCTTTAATAAAAAGTTTATACTTATGTAGCTAAAATTTTCTCACCAAATACAGATAATAAGAAACTATTTCGTGAATTAGAAACCTGAGTGCTTTTTATGAAATAAACGTGTGAAAAATTACTCAATGGCAATTTCATTTTACATTCAGAGTAATAACGTTAACTCAGTTGTTATTAATACTATTCAGCGTATTCTGTAATCACCACCTTTAGTAATTTTGTTTAAAATCCCTGACAAGATTGAAGTTAAAATATTTTGCACATTAAAGCTCTCAAAATATTAAAGTGAGGAAAAAGAAAAATTAAAACATAACATGTCATTAACGAAGTAATCCAGATTAGAAACATCAAAATCTGTTTGATTGCGAATCAATTAGATCTTCTCTTGAATATCAAATTCCAACTTTAATCATGCATAAATTTCATAATATTCATTTTTAATTTCGATATTCATGCTAGAAAGAATAAAAGAGAGCAGCATAAAGCATACTTATTTTTAGACCATTTATTATACCTCTATATATATATTGCGCATGTATATTGTGAGAATATTGTGTACGTATATTGTGAGAAAGAAATTTCTATAACATTTTATAGACTGGAATATATTTAAATTTAAATTTTAAGTGCAACTTTAACTAAATGAAATTCTTAAATACGAATAACATACAAGGTGATCCGTAATGACTGTCTGTAATATATATATTCAGAATCTACATGTAAAAATAGAGGTGAAACACAACGCACACTATGGGTCTCTAATATCTAAACAAGGAAGAAAAAAAAAATCCTCCACAAATCACTATCGAATAAAGCAGAACTGAAAATTTCTAAAATCTGTTTAATTGCTTAAAGATGTAAAAACTAGTTGAAAGGCGATTACAAGAAATCCCTTCAAATTTCTAAAGGCAATTAAATGGATTTTGGTATTTTCTGTCCCACCTTCTGCAATAGTGATTCATTAAATATTAATGCATCTCCTTTATTTTGGCAAAGATTCAAAAAATGGTCATCATAGAACACGCTGCATAATTGTAAATTAGTATGTTTGAGCCGTGGTGGCTTAGGGGATAGTACGCTCGTCTCTCAATGAGGTGACCCAGGTTCGAATCCCAGCGATGACTTGTCGATTCTGCACCCGGCTGGAGTTGTTCCCTTTGGATGATTACTTATGGAATAGTGCACTCGTCTTTCAATGAGGTGTACCAGGTGTAAATCCTAGTGATGACTGTTCAATTCGAATTCTGTTCCAGGCTCGTACCGATCAATAACAGTGGTGACGCAAATTACCTTTCGTAGTAAACAACGGATATTGGGTTGCAACCCCTTATCATAAAGAAAACCATAAGAGGTTTTCGTGGTTTTCCTCTCTATGTTACGCAAATGAGGGGGTTAGTTCTATCAAAAAGTCCTCAAAGAATTCAAGTTTCTCCCAATGCTTAACCCAGGAGTTATCTTGCCTTCTGGGTTGGGCTCAAAATTACGAGATTACGCTGATGAACATCGATAGTTGTAAACTCAGATTTGGAACAGCTGTTCAACTCCTGTTATCAAATAAAATTAGTATGTTTCGTATTACTTATGTTAGAAAAACTTTATCTAGTAAATGGCAAAAAGGAAAACTTAAAATTCTTGATGAGTGATCTCAAAACGTCGTAATGCATTTTTGATGCCAGAATTTGTTTTAGAAGTTTCTCCAAACGTTAGTTTCGAAGAGCAATGCGGAACTAAAAGCCTTCGATTAATAAGAAAACGTTTCAAAACTTAGATCTGATGATAGATGTGGAAGGTGTTAGTATGCTCTTTTACAAGGTGTTCCATACCACCTTTTATGTACACTTTTAGAATCTTGTCAGAAATAAAGACAAAATAGACACATTGGGGGTTTATAATAATTAGTATAGAAATTAATGAACTCCAATGAGGTGTCTCAGTTATAAATACCAACAATGACTGGTCAATTTGAATTCTGTTCCAAACTCGCACCGACCACAGTGGTGACTTAAATTATCCTTAGTTGTAACCCCTTACCGCCGAGCAAACAGTTATTTATGGTTTTCCT